ACACACACACACACACACACACACACACACACACACACACACACACACACATACACTCACTTTAACACGAACACACGCAGATAACGAAATTAAAAGCTTTCTAAAGTAAGGGTAAACGACGAAAGATTACGCGTAGTTAGACTGCATCACATTTTTTAGCGTTATCATACATTGTAATAATGAAACATCTCTGCCGTAGCCATGGAACTGAACAGCACAAATAAACGTGGTTTACTGGTATACAGACCTTTTCTGCTTAAGGGGGGGCTTGAATTTCATTTAGCTATTTATAAGATGTTTTTTTTCCCCCTGTTCCCTCATGTGAAACAAAGATTATGCCTGCTTGTTTTGTTTTTGCTATTGATGACCATGGAGGAACTGTCACATTTTTGTTAGGAAAAATAGCCGTAGCAGAACAGTCTGTATCCTTCTTTGTTGGAAACAGCTTAATGTGCCCCTTTCTCATGTAGGAAAACATTTGGCAACATTTACAAATTCACTAAAGAATCTTTGAAAAAGTTGAATACGTTCTTTTGTTTTCTATCAACATTTTTTGTTTTTTTATGGAAAATACAGACACCCCCCCCCCCACACACACACACACACCCCTCGAGAAATATTCGGAAAAAATAAGTACACACGTAAAAAAGAAATGAAATAAGGGTAAAAATATTCTGAAATGAAAAGATTACAAGCAAACAGCCTGTCAAGAGCTAGTACTAGTACGTTAAAATGTTGGATGACTTGGACCATTCCCCTTTGTTACACCCCTCGGGGCAGTGCTACTGAATGAAGTTGTCTTTCGGCCATTCCCAAAGGGGGGATAGTAACATGATCTTATGCACAGTAGAATTGTAAATGGGCTGATTTATCAATGTCATGCTCATACTGTGCCGGAACAACATAGGGGGAACTGCTGCTTTTGCTTTCCTCATCCTTACTGTTGTCATTTTTTCCTCTACTTCTTTTGTATGTTTGTCCCTCTCTTGTGAACTTCTATTTCCGGGGTGCTTTGATGGTCAAAGCAAACTTTGTGCTGTTGAGGATAGAGAGGTGAGCAGAGTAAGCCTGGTTTCCCGTTTGGACTTCTCTGTTGACATCCACCCCTTGGCGCTCATATAAATTTATGCAATCGCGAGAGCCGTAAAACCTAAAAGTAAAGTTGTTCCCGCTTCCGATCCGGACATAGGGCATTGTCTTGTTAGTGAGACAACTTCCTGGGCATATTGTGGTAGGGAGGCCAGTTATTTTCCACGCCGCCTTTACCTCCCCAACTCGAAGTCAGGTAACCATTACTGCTGGGTGAGCAGGAGGGGGCGGAAAAAAATCTGTGTCCGAACCGAGGCTCGAACCCGGACTTTCCACTTCGGAGACGAGCGCACTAACCGCTCTGCCACCGCACCCTCTCGAAAAACCTTATTAAAACTAAAAACTTTGTTACGCTCAATTCTCATGTCATGTTTCCTGTGTGTTGCCATCCTCAGCCGAGGCGGAGTCGTCGGACAGTGACAGTGACAGTGGCTCCTCTAGCGACGACTCGTCATCTGACAGTGATGGAGAACGGAAGAAGGCTGTAAGTCAGAAACAGGGTTATAATTTGTATCCTCACTAGAAAGTGTTTGGGGTTAAAATGCTTTTTGAGTTTTTGTCATGTTACTTTCCATCTTTCTCTTTCTGTCTATGTGTATTTGTGTCTCTCTCTCTCTTTCTCTCTCTCTCTCTCTTTCTCACTCTCTCTCTCTCTCTCTCTCTCTCTCT